AGTTTTGTTTACTCACAGTGATTAGACGTGTTTTTCCGAGCTCCAAAAGAAAAATATTGTAGACAGCTCGAAAGACCCTAAAAAGGTGACATTACTACTTGTGAGACAACTGGGAAAGGTACGTACCAGAATCGACCCCGGCTGGCTATCCGGGCTCCTCGAATCTAGGCACTTGGAACCGCCATTGGAACCCGTGGGCAAGGGGGGGGACTCTTCCTGTCCAGCGAGCGGCTCTATTTCCCACGAACGCTCTCACAGCTTGGAATAGTTTCCACACGCCACTTTTTCCCTCGCGTTTTTCCTTCTAGGCGCAACACACGATCAGCTGATCATAGTGTTGTGCAGCGCATGCGCAGCGAGCTTTCGCACCCGCGCAGTATTGGAAAACGCGAGCAGACAAATTCCCGCCATAGCCAGAACTTAAATTTAGATTTGGATTTGAATTTGGATCTGAATTTGAACTTGAAATTGAATTTGGACTTTAAATTTTGAATTTTGAACTTTAGATTTTGAATTTTTAAATTTTAAATTTTAAATTCTAAATTTTGGATTTTAAATTTTGAATATTGAATTTTAAATTTTGGATTTTGAATTTTGAGTCTTGGGTTTTGAATTTTTAATTTTGAATTTTAAATTGTGAATTTTGGGTTCTGAATTTTGAATTTTAAATTATGAATTCTAAATTTTTAATTTCGAATTTTGAATTTTAAATTTTGAATTTTGAATTTTAAGTTTTAAATTTAGAATTTTGGATTTAAAATTTTAAATTTTGAATTTTGAATTTTAAATTTTCAATTTTCAATTTTAAATTTTAAAATTTTAAATTTTAAATTTTAAATTTTAAATTTTAAATTTTAAATTTTAAATTTTAAATTTTAAATTTTAAATTTTAAATTTTAAATTTTAAATTTTAAATTTTAAATTTTAAATTTTAAATTTTAAATTTTAAATTTTAAATTTTAAATTTTAAATTTTAAATTTTAAATTTTAAATTTTAAATTTTAATTTGAAATTTTAAATTTTAAATTTTTAAATTTTAAATTTTAAATTTTAAATTTTAAATTTTAAATTTTAAATTTTAAATTTTAAATTTTAAATTTTAAATTTTAAATTTTAAATTTTAAATTTTAAATTTTAAATTTTAAATTTTAAATTTTAAATTTTAAATTTTAAATTTTAAATTTTAAATTTTAAATTTTAAATTTTAAATTTTAAATTTTAAATTTTAAATTTTTAAATTTTAAATTCTAAATTTTCAATTTTGAATTTTGAAATTTGAATTTTGAATTTTGAATTTTGAATTTTAAATTTAAAATTTTAAATTTTAGATTTTAAATTTTGAATTTTGGATTTTGAATTTTGGACTCTAAATTTTAAATTTTGAATTTTGAATTTTGAATTTTGGGCTTTAAAATTTCTAATCTTGAGTTTTTGAACTATAAATTTTGAATTTTGAATTCGAGTTTGAATTTTGAATTTTAAGTTTGAATTTGAGTTTAGGTCTGAATTTGGGTTTGGGTTTGGGTTTGGATTTGAATTCAGGTTCAAATCTAAATTTAAGACCTGATTTGGATTTGGATCCAAGGTGTAAATCAAGCTTGGATTTGTGTCTGAATTGGGCTTAGGAATTGTCATCCACACTCCGCAGTTGGCTCTAGTGGGGCTAAGAGCACAAGGCCAAGGAACTCCCCATTTTCCAACCCCTCCGCTGCGGCGGCGCCAATTAAAAAGGGGCTCTGGGGACCGAGAAGGAGCGGTATAACTCCCATCAGGCATCCGCAGGGGGAAATTCCCGCGCACCGAGGGACCCCACCAAGAGCAGGTGCGATGAGCAAGGAGAAGCTGCCAGCAGGCCGGGATGACGAGACCCAGGCACTGGCGGTAGCGAGAGCAGAGGAGGAGCTGCTGCGTAACTTTCAGCGTGTAAAGCAGAAGGTACAACACTCGCCTCTAACGACCACGACCGAGACGCACCCGATGTCAGCACCACCGGATGTGCATGGCCCGGTGTTCGTATTTGGCGATAAGGAAGAGGAGTCGGCCACCCCAAAAAGAAGCCGCGATGCTGTGAGCCCAGGCGGAAAATCCGACGGAGCCAAAAAGCAGAAGGTCGAAGCTAGCGCACAAGCCCTGGTTGAGAAGCTTGGAACGATGCTGGATGACATGATCGCGAAGTTCACGGACACCAAAAAGCAACAACAAAAAGGTTGTCCGTCACGTCACGCAGAGCACAATAGACTCGATGCTGGCTATGAAAAAGCTACAGCTCGAAATTGCAGAAGTTATCCCCGACGCCCACCCCGAGCGCACCACCCTATGCGCTAGCCAGCAGACAACCCCGACGCTGAGTGGCACGAAGCATGCGGATGCACCCGCAGGCAGGCCAGGAAATCCAGCTTGGCAACTTGTTAAGGCCAAGCCCAAGCCGAAGTACCCTCAGACCAGATCTGAGACCAGCGTGCGGGAGGAAGATCGCGCACCACGCACTCCGAAGCCAAGGAAACAGCGCTCTGACGCTATTCTAATCAAATGCAACGAAGGATCCTACGCGGACATGCTGAAGATTGTAAAAACCGAGCCCTCCCTACAGGGACTCAAGAATAGCGTGCAAGGTGTGCGAAGGACAGCTAATGGCGGGCTCCTGCTTAGGATGCAAAAGCCCCTCGATCCAGCTACGCAACAGCTACAAGCTGCCATAAAGACAGCCATCTCCGGCAAAGCGGAAGTGACCGTCATGCATGAAACAGTCCAGGTGGAGATTCACGATCTGGACGACATGACCAGCGGAGAGGAGGTCACCATGGCCCTGTTCGCTGGCGAAGAATGCGACATTTCAGGCGACTCTGCACCCAGGATGCGGAAAGCATTCGGCGGGACTCAGATCGCTACGGTCAACCTTAGACCTGAGCATGCGCGGAGGCTGCTGGAGAAGGGCAAAATCCGGATCGGATGGGTCGTCTGCCGCATTAGGCAGAAGACAGAACCGAAGCGCTGCTTTAAGTGCATGGGCTTCGGACATAATGCTGTGAGATGCCGAGCCCCGGAAGCAACAGCCAAGACCACGCAGGACTCCTGCTTCAAATGCGGAGGCACTGGCCATAAGCACAAAACATGCCATGGCAAGCCTATGTGCATTTTATGCACCCGAGCGGGTAAGACCGCGAGGGACGCGGAGCACGCGACTCTGAGCAGGTCCTGCCCAGAGTACCAGAAGGCCGCCAAACACATGCAGAATGGTTAAGTTTCTCCAACTTAACCTCAACCACTGCAGAGCAGCCCAGGACCTCCTGTCCCAAACGGCTACGGAGCTGAAAACAGACATCGCTATACTAAACGAACCGTATAGGGCAAAACCTGACGGTGTGTGGCAGCAGAGCACCGACGGCGGGGCAGCCATCTGGAGCTGCGGGCAGCCTGCGGGCCATATGACGCAGAGAGCGTCGAGACCTGGCTACACCAGGGCCAAGATCCATGAGGTGACCGTGTACAGCTGTTACCTTGCTCCGAGCATGCACATAGACGCCTTCCGAGAGGTGGTGCAGGAGATCGCCCAGGACGCCCGTGGAAGGTCGCCGGTATTAATCGCTGGGGACTTCAATGCATGGTCCACCGCCTGGGGGAGCTCGAGGACAACGCAGAGGGGAACCATCCTCCTGGATGCCCTGGCCACCCTGAATGTCTGCCTCCTCAACGACGGTAACAGGTGCACCTACAGCAAGGCAGGCAGAGAGTCAGTCATCGACCTGACCTTTGCCAGCCCGGAACTCACCCGGAACAGCCAATGGGAAGTCACGGACCTGCTAACATACAGCGACCATGCCGCGATAACCTTCAAGACGATGCACAGCCAGCAGCGACTTCCTGACCGGCAAACTGCGTATAGGGTACACACCCTAAACGTAGAAGTGCTTCTAGCCAGCATGGATTGCAACGCCATCATTGGGGATGCAAATAGCTGCGCGGATGCGTTATCTGCCAGGATCAAGGCTGCCTGCGATGCGGCAATGGAGAGCTCCAGCAGGGGATGTGGCAGGCGACCAGTCCCGTGGTGGAACCAGGAGATAGCCACAGCCCGAAGCGAGTGCCTCTCAGCAAGGCGGAGATGCCAGCGAAACAGAGGACGCCCTCTGCAAGGGATGTACGAGTCCATCTACAGGGAGAGGAAGAAAGCCCTCAAAGTGGCCATCAGGGCGAGCAAAAACAGGTGCTTCCAGGACCTCTGCGACGCGGCTGACCAGGAGCCGTTCGGGTCGGCCTACAAGATGGTAATGGGAAAGCTAATCAGACAGCCGACACCAACCTCCCATGAGCAACTGGGAGCAATAGTTACCACGCTGTTCCCAGCCCAGCCGCCCCCTAGTGCTTCCCAACGTGACCGTGGGGGAACCAATCCCTATTGATGAAGAGGAGGTCCTAAGCGCGCTAACCAGCTGCAAAGCCTCCAAGGCCCCTGGACCAGACGGCATCCCAAACGCGGCCCTGCTTGCGATAGCGAAGTTCCACCCAAAGTTGTTCGCGGAGGTGTACAACAACTGCATCGCCGAACGGACTTTCCCACAGGCTGGAAGCAGCAAAGGCTTGTACTCGTTCCGAAGCCGGGAAAATTGGACGACGATCCATCTTCATACCGGCCCCTCTGCATGCTGAACTCCCTCGGAAAAATATTCGAGCGGATTATATGCAGCAGGCTAGAAGCGGAAATCGAAGAGCGCGGAGCCCTATCCAGCCACCAGCACGGGTTTCGTAAGAAACGCAGCACTATCGATGCAATCCGCGAGGTAACGCAGCTGGCAGAAAATGCGATTTAAGGCGATAGATGGCAAGGAGGCACCAAGAAATACTGCCTTGTGTGCACCCTGGACGTCAAAAACGCCTTCAATTCTGCAAACTGGAGCCGAGTCCTCCAAGCACTCCAACGGGGCGGCATATCCGGATACCTCGTACAGCTGATAGCCGATTACTTCAAAGACCGCGTTCTGCAATACAAATCGGACGCCGGAAACCAGGAGCACCAAGTAACAGGAGGCGTACCCCAAGGCTCAGTCCTCGGGCCAATCCTATGGAATGTCATGTACGACGGTGTACTGAGGCTGAATCTGCCCGAAGGCTGCTCTGTAGTGGGCTTCGCAGATGACATCGCATTGGCCACTGTGGAGAAGCACCTGGCTGATGTTTCCACAAAATGCAGCCTTGCCATCGACATGCTGATGTCCTGGCTAGCGGACAACGGACTCTCGCTTGCCGAACACAAGACGGAAGCAGTGCTCATCAGCAGCAGGAAGGCCGTAGAGAAAGTGAACTTCCGTGTCGGGTCGACTACCATCGAGTCCTGCCCAGCGGTCAAGTACCTAGGCGTCCAGATCGACCACAGGCTAAACTACAAGAGCCACCTGGAGTACGTAGCGGCCAAGGCTTCCAAGGCCACTGGCGCCATCTCAAGGATGATGGCCAACACACGAGGCCCAAAGCAGCACAGTTGAAGGCTAATAGCAACCGTGGTGACGTCTACCATCCTATATGCCGCGCCGATATGGGCGGAAGCTATGTCGACCGCGAGCTACAGTCGACAATGCAAGATGGTATATAGACGCTGCGCACTGCGCATCTCCAGCTGCTTCTGCACAGTATCGGAAGAGGCCGCACTGGTTGTGGCTGGAACAGTCCCAATCGACCTACTGGCAGCGGAGCGCAGGACTGGCAACTCGGGTAGTGGAACTCAGCGGAACAGAACCATCTCCCTATGGCAAACGAGGTGGGATAGTGCGAGCACTGGACGGTGGACGTACCGACTCATCCCCGAACTGGAACCATGGCTATATAGAAGACACGGGCAGATGGATTTCTACACGACGCAACTGATTACAGGCCATGGATGCTTCAAGGCATACCTCCACAGATTCAAACACGAGGCTGATCCCTTCTGCGATTACTGCGGCAGCGGAGTCGTCGAGGACGCAGAGCATGCATTCTTCTCATGCTCACTATTCAGCGCGGATAGAGCTGCCCTGGAAGCAGCAACGAGCTGTCGTCTTACACCGGAAAACATAATCGGGTGTATGCTGGAGACGCCGTCCAATTGGGAGGCGGTTACGAACATGGCAGCAACCGTATTGAGAGAGCTGAGGCGCCGGGAGAAGATCCGACGCATGGACGGCGAACGATGAGCGGCACCTGACCGACTGCCGCCCCGCGAAGTAGAGCTTTGCGGCAGTCCCGCGGGAGCGGACATTTCTCTTTCTTACTCTACTACTTATGTATGATACTTATATCTTTAAATA